AGTGGGTAGGGTCCTGGTGCTTTTTGCACAGACCCTTGAGGGAACTGTGAAAGGAAAATAAATCTTGGGGCCCCCAAATCACTAAGATAAATGGAAAGTCAGGCTGAGAACTGCTTGGGGCAAACCTGCTTCCCATTCTGTTCAAAGTCCCCCCTCTGCTCTCTGAGATACATACGTATCTGATTGCCTCCTCTGGAGAGGCTCATCAGAAACTCAAAAGAATGCTACCATTTGCCTCCTGTCTACCTATGACCGGAAGCCCTCTCCCTGCTTCAAGTTGCCCTGCCTTTCCGGAACAGAACCAGTGTTCATCTGACATACATTGATTGATGTCTCATGTCTCCCTAAAACGTTGAAAACCAAGCTGTGCCCTGACCACCTTGACCTCATGTCGTCAGGACCTCCTGAGGCTGTGTCATGGGTGTGCATCCTCAACCTCGGCAAAATCAACTTCCTAAGTGAACGGAGACCAGTCTCAGATATTTTGGGTTCACAGAACCATAGGCCACCCATAGGCTGCCTGGCCCTGTGCTGCCCACCTTCACCAGCTGGGCCTTCAGCTGATGAGAGGAGTGTGAGGGCCAGGGTAGCTTCACCTGCTGGCAGCCTTGCTCGGCCAGCTCCTCTCCCCCTGCCCAGGGACAGGTCCTCGAGTCCCCGGCACAGTGACTCTCACTCTCTGGCTGAATACCCCCCTTCTTCCCTCCCCTTGACACCCCCACCCGCACCCCACACGCCCAGCGGCAGCTTCTGTTGCAGAGAGCCCGGCGAAGGGATCTCACGGAAGCTCCAGGAGCCTGAGAGCCTTAGGAGGCCCTGGGTGTCAACGCTGCCTGATTTTCTCATTTCATCTCTTACAAGCTTTCAGGACGCTAACATGATTAAGTTATTCACACAATTTATTAGCATCATGTTGGAAATCCAGTAGTATATTATACTGTCTGAGTAATCCAATTAGCAAAATGTATTTATTTAACAGGAATAGCAGCCACATGCGATCCCACACCATGTCCCTGACCAGCCTTCTCCACTCTTGACGCATGCCCCCCATGGAAAGGATCTTCTGTGCATGCAGGAGACGATGAGAGAGGGTGAGGTGGCCCAGGACCCACGGCGTGGGGGTGGGGAGGCAGTGGTGTGGGTGGCCGGGCCACCCCTTTGAGCTGGGATCAGGTGAGCCTCGCTGAGTTGCGGGTGTGCGGTTTGAGGCAGAATGTTCCCGTGGGAAGGGTGAGTTCATACAGCACCAGGTGTGAACTCTGGCTTTGCCCTGGCTTCTCGCTCTGTGAATCCTGGGCAGGCTCTTGAAAGTTTCTGTACCCAGTTTCCTTATTATCTATGAAATGGAGACAAAACCCCCTCCTTGCAAGCCAGGCCAGTTCCAAGGATGGGGGGCAGATGTGACTTTTCTCTGCCTGTCTGGTCCCACTGGCTCCGAGGACCAGTGCCTGCTCTGGTCTTACCTCCTCCTGGAAGCCTTCCGGGTGATGTCGCACCCTCCCCTTCCTTTTCTGCATCCTCAGATGGAGAGTGTGTGCCCTGCGGGAGGGGCCCACCCCAGCCTGCCCTGAGACGGGACAGGGACTTCCTTAGGGCCTGGTGCCACCCCCACGCCACCCCAGGCATGGAAATAAAAGAAAATCTTGAATTCCTTTCCAGGAAATTCCAGGCACTCCACTAGTCTTAAGGAGTCAATGAGCAATTGGAAAAGCAAGAAGTTGCTTTTCAGAAACCTGGACCCCACCAGGGGGAAAATGCTAACTTCTGGCAAGTGGACCTCAGATATGGGGGAACCAAGGACTGCGCTCTGATGGCTGTTCTGGATTCAGAATTTCTTCCTAGGGGGCCTGGAGAGACACACCCACGGCCACGCCTTCACATTCCTTCCTGCTGACCCCAAGTTTTTAGACAAAGCTTTGCTTCCTTAACCAATCACAAATCAAAGGATCTTTGAATCAAACCTATGATCTATAAACTCTTCAAGATAAGCCCTTCAAGATATCCCACCTTTTGAGGCCAAACCAGTGTATGATGTTCATGTCCTGATTAATGATTTTGCCTGTAACTTTTGCTTTCCTGAAATACACTCCTGCCTTTAAAAACCCTTGCTTGTGGCTGGGTGTGGTGGCTCATGCCTGTAATCCCAGCACTCTGGGAAGCTGAGGTGGGCAGATCACCTGAGGTCAGGAGTTTGATATCAGCCTGGCCAACAAGGCCAAACCCCAGCTCTATAAAAAATACAAAAATTAGCCGGGCATGGTAATGCGTGCCTGTAGTCTGAGCTCCTTGGGAGGCTGAGGCAGGAGAATCGCTTGAACCCAGGAGGCAGAAGTTGCAGTGAGCCGTGATATCACCACTGAACTCCAGCCTGGGTGACAGAGTGAGACCGACAACAAGAAAAGAAACAAAGAGAAAAAACAAAACCTTTGCTCGTGAGCCATTGAGGATGTTGGGTCTGAAGTGTGAGCTGCCTGATTCTCCTTGCTTGGCTCCCAGCAAATAAATGCCCTCCTTTCTCCTGCGGCAACCCTCGGTGTGGGTATTTGGCTTTACCAAGCTGGGCGAGTGGAGCCAGTTTGTTTTGGTAACAGGCCTTCCTAACTGTTCCTAGCGCCTCCGTCTGCTTGGAGACGATGCGTGGGTTCTGGATGGGCCCCCGTCCTTGGCATAGCGCCAGGTGCTCAGAGCAAAGATCAGCCAAAAGGATCCCACACCTCTGCTGTTCAGTGCAAGGGCGATGGCAGTGTAAACAAGAGCAGTGCCCTGACACCTGAGGAACTGAATGAGGATGCTTGGCTCCTCGCGGGTGGCTGGGAAATCACCTCGTTGAGAAGGTGTAGAGAGGCGGAAGACAGTGCATTCTTGCTTCTAACCAGCTGCCTCTCGAGAGGCACCACCGCTGTGGCAGCACCGTCAAGACCTCCCTTGTCATAGTCACCAGCATCTGTCCAGGCACCCAGAGGCCTGATGAAGGCAGGTGTGGTGGGGGCTGGGAGTGTCCGTCACTGCCTCATCCTGCCCGCCCACCCCCAGATTGAGTGCCAGGGTCCTTCCCATCCTGATTTCAGTCATCACAGTGGTGGTCCTGCCATGTGGGCACCCTCAGCCATTCTCTCTGGACCATCACCAGCAAGGCTGTGGCTGCAGGAACCTGGGCCTGCCTAGGCTGGGGAGTCCCCTCCCCAACTTCCAGCCAATCCCCAGCCACCACGTCCAGGAAGCCTTAGGTTCTCTTTCCAACTCCTTGTACTTGATTCTTTCATTTGCTCTTTGGGCAGGGAGCAAGACCCCTGTTTCCTACTCTTGAAATTCTTAGCAAGAATGACTGCTATCCGGAAGGATTCTTTTTTTTTTTTTTTCTGAGACAGAATCTCCTTCCGTTGCCCAGGCTGGAGTGCAATGGCACGATCTTGGCTCACTGTAACCTCCGCCTCCCTGGTTCAAGCGATTCTCCTGCCTCAGCCACCTGAGTAGTTGGGATTACAGGCACCTGTTATCATGCCTGGCTAATTTTTGTATTTTTGCAGAGATGGGGTTTCAACATGTTGGCCACGCTGATCTTGAACTCCTGTCCTCAGGTGATCCTCCCGCCTTGGTCTCCCAAAGTGCTGGGATTATAGCCATGAGCCACTGCACCTGGACCCGAAATTCTTAATACTTTATTAACAAGGCCTCCCCTTGTCGTGTGCGCTGGGCTCCACAGATTAGGTAGCCAGTCCTCCATCCAGCTTCCAATGACCCCAAACAAGCAGGCATTAGCACCCTGCTTTACAGACAGGAAACCCAGGGGCAGAGCTAGGGAGCTGCCCAAGATGACTGGGCAATGAGGGCCTCGGACCTGAGCCTGCCTTACCCCTGGGGAGATCCCCGCACTCCCTTCATTTCATTCTCTGGAGGGCAGAGAATGGAGGCCAGAGGTTAACACTGGCCCTTCTTTCAGAGTGGAAATTGAAGGAGACTTGGCAAAGTGACAAGGACCCCAGCTATGTGAGTGGATGGTGGGGGCTCTGCCGTCTCCCCCAGCCCCGTGGGTCTTTCTCTCTTTTGAGGTAGAAGGAGCCAGTGTGGCCCAGGGAGGGAGCGTGGCAATGCCTGGGGGCTGCTCCAGAGCCAGCAGGTTCAGTGGACTTCAGGAGGAAAACAAAGGGGCCCCTACTCCTCCGGTTGGCAGGCTCCAGGCACCCCCTACCTGTGATGGCCAGACCCTGTCCATGGCGCTGCGGTGAACGCCCCCTCCAGAGGTCCCTTCTCTCCAGACTCGGGGCCCGGGAGTTGGAACAGACCCCTCGGGTTCCTCCTTCTTCTCTCCCAGTGGAACTCTTGGTCCCCCTTGTATAACTGAGACGTCTCCACCACACGCAGCCCCGCCACCCCGGCTAATAGCTGTGATGTGGCGCCTTCTGCGTTAATGACAGGTGTGCGGGGACAAGGCTGCCTGCCTGCCAGTGGGTTCCCTGACGTCACACCCGCTCCAGTGGAGCAGCACGCCCTAAGGCAACTGAAATCCTAATAGGTCCCTCTAACTGCCTCCTGCATCAATCTTGACACCAGGCGCTTTCTTCTTCTTCCCCACGGCTGGCCTTATAACTCTGTCATTGTCATTGATTTTGACTAAAAGAGAAAAAAACCCACTCATGCTATTACTGTTCCAAGTTAGCGAGGCAGAGAGCTCTGTGGAGCGTCGGCTGGGGGCCAGGAGCCAGGGCTTAGGGGACATCAGTCGGTGCAGGATGTGCCTCGTGGGTCCTCTGGGGGCCAGGAGGGAGGTCAGCAAGAGGGGGTGAGGGAGACTGGAAGGCTGATGACAGGTGAGACCCCTGGGAGGGCCATCTGTGCCTCTCCTTCCCTCCCTCCCCCTGCACTCAGAAGGATCTGCCAGGCACTAGGGGGTAGAGGGGAGGTGGGTGGAGGGTCCAGTTGCAAAATGCTTTCTGTGGCAGGGCCAGAAACAAACAACAATAAAAGAGAGGCTGTGCATTCTTCCCTGTTCCCTACACCAGCACAAGTCGCCAGAGGCCTGAGCCGCACCCACCAGGCTGGATTTGAGAGTTCTGCAGGACCCTGGACACGGAAGGGGTTGGCGGTGAGCAACGGGGAGTGTGAGAAGCTCGGGGTGCTCTCTGAGACCCCTGCCAAGCAAAGGCTCACTCTCCAAGAAGTGGGGAGCAAGGGTCCTCTTCTCCTACTGGTACCCACCACCAAAGTCTTTCTAACTCCGAGGAGGAGAGACGAGGGGAAAGAAAAGGCGAAGAGAAAAGGGGAATGAAGGTGAGGGCCCAGGATGGGAAAGGAAGGGAGGGAGAGAAGAAGTGGGAAGGGCCTGCTGGAGTGAGGGGCACCTGCTGGAGTTGGGGGGGCTTCTGGAGTGGGGGGGGCCTCCTGGAGTCGGGGGGACCTGCTGGAGTGGGGAGGGCCTGCTGGAGTTGGGTGGGGCTGCTAGAGTTGGGGAGGCTGCAGTGGCCATTCTCTTACTTTTCCCTCCACTGTGTTTTCTTTGCCCCCACTATTGCCAGGCCAAGCACCTTTCTCCCAGGATTATACTTGGTGTGGAGTGAAACCCCTTTCTATTTTCAAGCTCTTACTGGGCACTGGACCTTCAGTGGATCACCCAAGGGCCTGCTGGGTACTCCAGAGAGAGACACAGAAGTCGGGGGCTTGTCCTCAGGGACTCGAGACTCACGGACGAAGATTGGAAACCCACCAAGCCCTCTGTGACATCCGGGCCACCGGCACCCTCCTCCCATGGGGTGAGAGTTGTATCACGGGGACAAGGATGGTGCCCTGTAAATGCTGACCCACCAATGGGGACACTGGGGATTGGGCAGTCTGGGGACAAAGGCAGACACAGAGGAGTGGCTATGTGGAGATTAGGAAGAGAAGCGTGGGTGGGGGGCTGCCTCCTGTGGCCCAGGGTATCCTGCCAGTGTGCTGTTTGACCCAAGCCATGTGGTGGGATCCCCTCTGGGGCCTCTAGGGTCCCCAAGAAGCAGCGAGTACAGGGTATGCTGTCCTCATGCAATTGTATTCCTCTCAATCCAGCTTTCAGGAAATGCGTGGCCAGAGGCAGTTTAACTGGAATGGCTTTATAACACTTTTCACATCAGATCAAACCCTGTGATGACCAATGCATTCCACTGTTTGGTTTGAAAAGCACATTAACAAAGGGGTGCAGGGCTGGCTTCATTAGGGATGTACAGAACTGCCCCAGTGCAGCCCCGACGGTTCTGCAGGCCCAGGGTGAAGGAATGAATTGGCTTCCTCTTGTGTTTTAAATCCATCACTTGTTGGAGCAAATCAATTCCCCAGAGTACGAGCGTCCCCAATGGAGTGATAAGATCAGGTTCTGGAATGCACACGCTCGGCTCTGGATCAAGATGGCCCTCACCCCACAGAGGCGTGGCGCCAAGGCCTCAGCACCCCCACCGCCCGGGGCAAGCAGTGGTGCCCGCCTTCACCTTCTGGGAGGAAAGTTCTTCATCCAGGTCTGTGGACCCAGGCTCCACCTTCCCAGATTGCTGCAAGTTCTGCCTTGGCTCCACACCAGAGAGTGAGCATCACTGTGCCTGGGACTTGGGGATCTGTCCCCGGGCTGGGGGAGAGGAGCGAGCAGAGGAAGGTTCCTGGTGAAGCCACGCTGGCCTCACTCCAGACCTCGCATCCTCTCATCAGCTGAAGATCCACCAGTGCAGGTGGGCAGCACAGGGCCAGGCGGCCCATGGCTCCCTTAACGGGGAGGGGTGGGAAATTGGGACAAGCTCCCTGAGAGCCAAAACCTCCAACTTCGGTGGGTCAGCCACACAGTGCCCGGGAAAGCAGGCGGTGGCCTCCCTGTTTCCCCCGAGCCACAGCCGCTGACCTGACTCCACATGGCAGGAACTATCTGCGGGGCTTCTCTCAAGACCTTGCCTGAGGAGGATCCCCCTTGTCTGCAGGCGGGACCCCGAGCCCGGACCCCCAGGAAGGGGCCACCCTAACTGCCCTCCTCTTAAACCACAGCCTTGTTTTCCAGCAACCCTGCCCCCTTCCAAAGGAATCCTTCCTCTCTCCCTTGAAGGGCCTGCGGACAGATTAAAGGCTCCTTCTCTGCTCCAGGTTTTTCTCCCAGAGGAGCTGAATTTTAGCCGAATACCCACGGGCAGTTAGGGTGGCCCCTAACAGCTCTCAGGGAGCCGGGCCCGATTTCCCACCCCTCCCGCTGTAGGCACTGGTAAGGAGGTATCTCACTGGTCCGCTGGCAATCCCGCGGGGAGTGGCTCTTCTTTCGGGATTTGCTGAACCCAGGCTGGCAGAGCTCAGGCTGGCGAATCCCTGTGTTGCAAAGCCAGGGCACTGAAAGGAGGCAGGGAGGGGCTGCTTCCGGCACCCAGAGTCTTGGCAGCTGTTGCCGGGCAAGAATCTACTGCCGCCGCTGCCATTGGTCCTTCTGCCTCTTCCTGGCAGAGCAAGAGTGATGCCCACACCCAGGGCTGGTCCATTTCGCCACCCAGGCTGCCTAAGGAGGCCATGCCCACTGGCTTAGGTGGCTTCTTGGGGTCCAGCACCATTCCAGCCAGTGCCACAGGGACAGACACAGGGGGAGCAGTCACAGCTGCCTGGTCACGGCCCCCACGCCACGGCTCCTGGGCACAGCTGCTCTGTGATTCTCCTGCCTGCTGCTTGCCCGGCTCCCTCGTCTTCTCTCTCCCCGGGCCTCACCCTTTCCCAGTGCCTGTTGCTGCTGGATGGGCAGGCGGGCACCCAACTCCTGGCTCTCCTGCTGTCATGTCTCCTGGGGTGCAGTGCTGGGCAACCTCATGCAGCCAGCGTCTGTCTCAGGCTGCAGGGCACTGGGCACTCTTTGGGCACATCAGCCTCAGGCTCCCCAAGGGCAGGCCCCACCTGGTTTGTTCATCTGCGCCTAGAGCAGCACTTGGCACATAGTAGGATCGAATAGATGAGTGATCTGAGGGGCTGTGGCACCCACTCCCCCCCACAGCAGGAACTGGCCTGTTTGCATCTTTCCTGCAGGACCAGAAGCCTGACTTCTGGGAAGCCCTGGAACCCTGGAAGAGGAAGGGGCAGATTCTAGGGTGAACTGGCTGTGCAGTACAGAGGCAAACAGCAGAGAGGCTGGTGGTGGGGTGAGGGTGAGTGGCAGGGAAGTGAGGGCAGACCTTGTAGAATTCCAGAAAGGCCAGATCAGCAGTGACCCCTGTTTATTAGGCGTCTCCCTCCAACCAGGAGCTGGGACCAAACCGTCAGAGTGTCTGCAAGTCATCAAGGCCAGAGGCAGTGTGGTGTCATGGTTAGAGCACCAGCTTTGCAAGGGACGTACACCTGGGTCCACGTCGTTGTGTGACCTCAGGGAAATCTCTCAACCCCTCTGTGTCTGTTAAATAGGAACGACAACAGTAACAACTCTCACAGGGTTACTGTGAGGATTTGATGTGATGGTGCAGGAGAAAGGCTTAAAGTAGTGTCTGGCATGTGGTAAAATTTAATCAGTTTTAGTTAAAAGTGGCAGTGGTGATAATTATAGCAAAGGTTTGGATGGGTGGAAAAGCCTCAGTAAACAAGAAGCGTGGGTGTCCCCGTTGCTGTGTGAACCTGAGGCATGTGCATGTCCCTTTGGTTTCTGCAGTTAGGGAGGGAGGAGCCGGGGATGGACGCTGTGGAGCCCTTTGTCCTGAGATTTGTGGGGTTGAATGATGAGCTGGTTTAGGCTCATGGCGCAGTTTTCTTAGGCCAATTGCATTTCGTCCTTGTGCCACCTCTGGGCAGTCAACTGGCCAATGACTATGACCATGATGTTTCTGGTAAGGAAATCCAAGGCCCAGCGAGTGAAGTGAAATGGCCACACCACACCTTTCTGGCCAACGAGGGCAGAACCCACATTGCTAACTTCTGCCCTGAGTTCCTGGGGCCTTCACAGTCTGCTGGGCTTATGAGCTTGTTTGTCAATTCGTTTTTTGTTTTTTTCTCTTTTTTTAATAAATGGCCATGAACAGTTTGGAAACCCAGACAATCAGTACTTCTGGGGGCAAAGCCCTACCCCAGGGAAGGGACTGTCTTGGACTTTAAAGACGAATATTCTGGAATCTGCTCTTATGAACACATGATGGTCACATATTGGGGCCTGATGCCTGAGACCTTATAAAGTACTTTCACAGACCTTACAGCTTTGGTGCCTCCCAGCCCATATGCTTTTCATCCCGTGTATCAGTCAGGGTTCTCTAGAGGGACAGAGCTAATAGGATAGATAGATATATCTAAAAGGGAGTTTATTAAATATTCACAGTCACAAGGTCCCACAATGGGCTGTCTGCAAGTTTGAGGAGCAAGGGGAGCCAGTCTGAGTCTCAAAACTGAAGAACTTGGAGTCTGATGTTCAAGGACAGGAAGCATCCAGCGCGGGAGAGAGGTGTAGGCTGGGAGGCTGGGCTGGTCTCGCCTTCTCACCTTTTCCTGCTGCTTTATATTCGCTGGAAGCTGATTGAGGGTGGGTCTGCCTGCCCAGCCCACTGACTCAAATGTTAATCTCTTTTGGCAACACCCTCCCAGACACACCCAGGACTAATTCTTTGCATCCTTCGGTCCAATCAAGCTGACAGTATCAACCATCACATCCCACTTGGCGAATAGTCTCAGAAACAGGAAGGGTTGTAAAGTCAGGACTTGAACTCAGATCTTCAGGTTCTGAGCCCAAAGAAACCCTCTCTGAGGGCACTAGAAGTGTCCTATGACCTGACTAGGTGCCCAGCCCAGGGTCATCGAATCTTTGCTCCTCTGGAGAGAAACCTGAAGCAGAAGCCACGTCCTGTTTTCCAGGGAAACCTCATCATTGACCTGTCACAGCCCAGGGCCTGCTGGGAAAATCTCTCAGGTACAGACCACCCCCGATAGTTGTTCTAAAAAGGGAGTTATCTACCGGAGGAATATTCCCCAGGAATAATTGCTAAAAGGCCTAATTTTGGAGATAACCACTATTATAAATGTCTCATTACTTTAATTAAAGTCTCATCCATCACAGATGCGCTGTTCCCTGAAGCACAAGCGGCCAATGCGGCGGCAGCCAGCGTGAGAGGCCGAGCGTGTATTCACAGAGCAGCCTCCTCCCAACCTTCTGGATCAGATGCTGGCAGCCCTGCCATCCCCCCCACCAATGCCCCATTTCCTCCTCCATGGCCCAAATACCACGTGCCCTTTCAAACCCCTTCTCTGCTCCGACTACCCAAGTGTGATGTCCCCCGTCTCCGAGCGGGAGAGTCAGCAAAAGCTGGCATTCGGCAAACCAGAGTGTGACAGGGCCCGTCAGAAGCAGAGGATGCCCAACAGCTGGTGTCTCGGGAGAAAAGTGGCAAGGCCCCTAACACAGATTTGTGTATCGGGATTTTGGGGGCTGTGTCTGCCACCCTGGGGGTTATCATGTCCAACCTCAGCGGATTCAACTCACTGTGTGCAAGGCCCTGGACGTATGTTGTCCTGTTCAGTCCCACGACAGCTCTGTGAGGTTGTGCAGTTGACTCTTGGATGATGTGGAGATTGGAGCGCTGACCCTACACAGCTGAAAATCTGTGTATAACTTTTGACTCCTCAAAACTCTCAGTGCCAAGAGCTTCCTGTTGACCAGAAGGCTTACTGATAGCACCAAGAATTAATACACATATTTTGGATGTTGTATGTATGATATGCTGTAATCTTACAATAAAATAAGCTAGAGAAAAGAAAATGGTATTAAGAAAATCATAATGAGGCCAGGCGCGGTGGTTCATGCCTTTAATTCCAGCACTTTAGGAGGCCGAGGCGGGGGAGATCACCTGAGGTCAGGGGTTCTAGACCAGCCTGGCCAACATGGTGAAAGCCCATCTCTACTAAAAATACAAAAATTAGCTGGGCGTAGTGGCTTGTGCCTGTAATCCCAGCTACCTGGGAGACTGAGGCAAGAGAATCGCTTGAACCGGGAGGAGGAGGTTACGAGGTAGCGCCACTGCACTCCAGCCTGGATGACAGAGTGAGACTTCATCTCAAAAAAAAAAAAAAAAAAAAGAAAGAAAAGAAAAGAAAAGAAAAGAAAATCATAAGGAAGAGAAAGTATATTTACTACTCATTAAATGGAAGTGGATCATCATAAAGGTCTTCATCCTCCTTGTCTTCATATTGAGGAGGAGGAGGAGGAGGAGGAGGAGGAGCCATTGGTCTTGCTGTTTCAGGGGTGGCAGAGACAGAAAATCCCAGTATAAGGGAACTCTTGCCATTCAAACTCTCATTGTTCGACTCAAATGCATAATCACTGCTGCTTTACCAGATCTGGAAACTGAAGATCTGCAAGGGAGGGTGGACCCGCCCAAGGCCACTCAGCGCATCCGTGGCCCAGAGGCAAGCTTTGAGGTCTGTGCGCCTGACTCCAGAATCTGACACCCAAACGGTGAGGCCAGAGGTGCCGTTCACCCAGGTGAGGGGTGGGGGCTGGGAGAATCTTGGCCAGAAGAGGGCCTGAAGGGCAAGGCCAAGGAGCGAGGAGAAGCGCAGAGCTGGCCTTTACTGGAGAGTGGGTGGGGACAGTGAAGACTGGGAACCAGTAGCTGGGACTGGCTGGGGACAGCCCAGACTCTGGGTTGGACAGGGGGATCAGGGCATCCTGGTGGGAAGAGGAAAAGGGAAGTGAGGGGGGCAGGGTGGCCCCTGGAGATGAAGAAAAATCCGATGTGGCCCCAGGTGGCAGGGCCCAGTCAGAGAGCTGCCTTCCAGGACGAGAAGTCTAAAGCACTGGGCAGGACTCCAGCCTCCCACCCTACACAAGGCAGGGGGTGAGGACAGACACAGGGAGAGACCTGAGGAGATTCCATGGGTGGGAGGAGCCTGGGTCACACGGGATAAGGGGAAAGAGATCTGAGATTCCAGCAGGCTCAGACACAGTGGCTGACCCAGCCCTGCAAAGGCGGGCTAGGAGGGGCCCGGCTGCTGTGGGCGGGTTGAGGGCAGACAGCGGCCTCATCTGGAGGGCCTGGGAACAGGGAGATGGGGGCAAGAAGAGGAATGCCTTGGGTCACCTGGTAGAACAAAGCCCTGGGGGACCTTGGACAGGCCTGGGATGGGCAGGTGGCCTGCAGCCCAGGAAATAATGTTCTCCAGGAACTCAGCAGGCTGGGATCAGAGTTAGGTCCAGGAACAGGAAAGGAACCAGCCTGTGCTGGGTGGCTCCTAGCACCCACACATTTTATACACGTGACCTTATTTAAAACTACATGACATGTGACATTTCATTGCCACAGCAGCCTTGGAAGGTAGAGCTCATCATTCTCTTTCCTTGAAGTAGGACATGGAGGCTAAGAGAGGTTAAGTGACTTGCCTGAGGTCACACAGGAGCCAGGACTTGAGCAGGAGCCTGTCTGCCCTCCCTTTGCTCTTGAGGCCCAAGGCTGGGTTGGGATTAGCCTGTAATGAGCCTGCGAGCGTGCGAGGAGAATGATGTTTGCAAGGAGGGAAGACCCTGAATCCTGGGGACTGGGGTATGTTGGATGGGGCTGCCCAGGCCGGAGCTCCCCTGGAAACTGCCCGTCCCACCCTATTCTTGCTCCCAGTCCCATTCCATTCTAGGGGCGTCTTGTGCCCAAGATTCCACTGCAAGGAAGAGGCAGAGGTGGGACCAGGACCCACATCGCCAGACCCCAGGGTCTCCTTGGGGTTACCTGTGCCAGCCCTCAGGCACCCTAAGTGACAGACCACATGCAAAGCAAAAAGAGCCTCAGATATGGGGGCCAGCACTTGGGGTGGGTCCAGGGAGGTGAAGCCTGCGTTGTGCTGTGTCAGCCCTGAGGCCGTGGCCGTCTGTCTCCCCAGGCCCCTGAGAGGGCCCCTGAGAGGGCGCCCGGTCCTGTCCCCGCTCAGCAGACGTCTCCGTCTCCCTGTGCCCTGTTAGGGTCCCCTTTAGCCTCAGGAGAAACTGACCCCTTGACCTTGGCTTGCCCCAGAGTCCAGCTGTCTTTCTCCATCTCTTGACTCCATTTGAGGTCCCCCACAAGCACCTGGCACGTGCCAGGCTCTGTGCCAAGAGAAGCCCCTGTAACAGACCTGGAGTCTGGGACCCTGTTTTGCAATGAGGAACCCCAGGCTTGGGAGGTCGGGGAACCTACTGCCAGTCATGCAGCTGCTAAGGGGTGCAGCCGGGGCTCAGCTTGCATCTCACCAGGGCATCATCCCACCTTCCCTTGTCCCAGCCAGAACCGACTTGCACTCACTGCCTCCACAGGGAGCGTGACGGAGGTTTGGGTCCCGCTGTGGTGGGCTGGGCTCCCTTCCTGACATCAGAGGCGCCAGATGCCGGGAGCGTCTGGACGGGGGAAGACCCCAGCCTCTGCCTTGCTAAGGGCTCGCTCTGTCTTAAGTGACTACAAGAGATGCCATTTCCCACCACGGAATCTGGCTCCATCCAACTGTCCCTGCAAACAGCCCAGCAGCTCAGCCCCTCCACACGCAGAACGAAATCACCAGGGAGGGCAGTGAGCAGGGATTTCTTTCTTTTTTTCCTGTCCTGGGGTTAAACATCTCAGTTTGAGGCAAAACAAATTCCTTGCTGAAGCTCATCACCTCCAGCTGGGCCTTGGGAAGGCCCATTTCATCCCATCATTTAGCACGGAGTCATGCTGATGAGGTGCCTGGTCTGAGCCGCCCCATGCTTGCTGAAGGCTGGTCTCAGGGGACGCAGCCTGGCAGACTGGGGCAGGCTCTGGAGGCTCAGCTGCAGCCGGCAGGGGGGCTGGAGGAAGCCGTCCCTCCCTGTGTCACCAGAGGATGCCGTGGGGGGCGTCCTCAGTCCTTCAGGGTCTGTGTCAGAGGTGAGAAGAAATTCTCCCTGGGCCTCTGCCTGGGGCCCACAGTGAGCAGGCGAGGTGAGAATCAGACCGGGAGAGGCCACTGTGGGCCTGAGAACCCTGGGGCTGGGAATACCACTGCCCTGATCCCACAAAGGAGAAGGCGTCCAGCCCTCCCTCAGAGAAGTGGGCGCCCAGGGATCCACCCATCCTGGTTCATGGTGATCCTGCCAACCTGGGCATCATCCAGCCCAATGCACCCAGCAGGCCCACTGCCCCCAGCGCCTCATCCAGCTCCTCCTGCTGCAGTCTCCGCCCACATCACCAAGTCAGCTGTCAGTCAGGGGCTGCTCAGCTCTAGGGATTCCTCGGTTCCAGGACCTGGGGAAAGGAAAGAAGAGGAGGAGAAGGGAGAGAAGGAGAGAGGTAAGGAGGAGAAAGAAGAGGGGAGAAAGAGAGAGAGAGGGAGTGAAAAAGAGGAAGACGGGGGACGGAGGGAGAGAGAGGGAACACGTCTTCGGCTTGCGCGACATGACCACTCACTAGCGTGTTCTAATTTGAAGAGACTGGAGAGACTCCGCCTTCAGTAGGTCCCTGCCACAGAGATTCAGCCTGCCTGAAATTGCCAATTCTTTATTCCTTTGGGCAAGGCCACCGAGACCCCGCTTAAAATGTAAGAGTGAGATCTGAGAAGGCCATTTGTTCACTAGCACCCGTTAATTAGGCAGCCCCTGTCACTCACTCGGCTGAGGCTCAGAAGGGCTGGGGTGCTCTCAGGGAAGCTGTGGCCGGAGGCAGGCTGGCTTTAGTCGTGGAACCTGTTTTGGTGACACCTATTAACCTAAAGGCTGCTGTATTCCAGGGAATTCGTCTGGGAAACACTGGCCTGGTAAGTGGTCAAGACTTCATGAAGCCCAGCTGTCACTGCCTCAGAGCACCCTGTGGAGACGCAGTGAATGAGAAAGAGTCCAGTGCATCCCTCTCCACGTTTTGTTTTTCTGGAGATCCCTTCCCATGTGCTGCTGTGGGTTTGCGGGTCTCAGTCCTCCTATCCTCCAAGGCTCAGTCCCTGCTCCCAGCTTCGCAAAGATCCCCTGATTTCCTGCCTGTCCTTGCTGGAGATCAACTCTTCAGCCACCGAGCAGATGCCCACAGCTGTGGTGTGTGCCTCCCCTCCCCGGGCCCATGGGATAGACAGGTCCCGTCCACTTCTAGTTACTCCTAAGCTGGCCTTCCCACTGCACACCACTGGCATCTGTATCACTGGGTCCCTGTTGAATGAGCTCATACTATGCGCCAGGGGTCCTGCCAGGCACTTCGAGGCACCTGCTCATTTAATTCTTATGATAGCCTTCTGAAGGGGATGTGCTATCATCCCATTTTACAGATGAGGAAACAGCTCCCACTGTTCTTCTGTCAAGACACCAGCTTCGGGATATTCCCTTAGGAATGGCTTCCTGTGCCAAGGGCCCACTCCCATCTGAGCTGTGACCCTGCCCAGCACCAGCCCTGCTGCCCCTGGCTAGGGCCAACCTGGGCTTGTCAGGGAGATGTCAGGGGCTCCCAGGTGGCTTTGTCCCTGCAGGTGGCCTCTGGCCAGCCCTCTAGCCCTTTCACTTACAGGCAGAGGTTTTTGCTGTTTGCTTCTTGTTCCTCTGGTGAAGGACCCTGCTTTTCCTTCCAAGTTTTCTGTTTCTCCTGCTTGCAGCTCAGCAGAAAAGAGAGTAAAACTTCAGAGAAGCATAAAAGCTTGCTGGTTTGGTGGTGTGCGGC